ACAGCACCCGCAGGAGAAGCAACACCAACAGCAACAGCAGGAGCAGCAGGAGCAGCAGCAGCAACAGCAACAGCAGGAGCAGCAGCAGCAGCAGCAGGAGTAGCAGCAGCAACAGCAGCAGGAGTTATTTCTGCTGCTGGATGCCCTTTGGGTTGTGTGTCTGGGTGCCCGATAATTGATATAGAAAAGGAGACAGCAAAAGGAGACAGAGACAAAAAGACAAAAGGAGACAGCGTAAAACCACCTACAAGCAACAAAGGAGACAGAGAAGCAGACGGAGACAGACGAAGAGAGAGGGTCTCGGAGGCAGCCAGCCGTTCTGCTGCTTCGCTTCTTTCTTTTATCCCTGCTGCATTTGGGGTGTCTCTGCAGCCTGCAGCAAAGGAGACACAAAAGGAGACAGTTGTCTTGTACTTGGAGAATCTTCTCGCGGGCCTAGACAGCCCCATAGTCGTAGATATTAAGATGGGTAAGGAGACACCGCATGCATGCATGCATGCATGCATGCATGCATGCATGCATGCGGTGATGCATGCGTGTGGGGTGTACGCTGCCGCTGCTGCTGCTCCTTGAATGGCTGCTGTTGTTGCTGCTGCTTCATTGGCTGCTGCTGCTGCTGCTGCACAAGTGGTTATTGCTGTTGCTGCTGCTGCTTTCCCATTTGCTGCTGCACCATTAGCTGCTGCATATTCGTCTTCATGCTCATATTTCTCTGCTGCTGTTGCTGCTGTTGCTGCTGCTGCTGCTGTTTAGGGACACGTTTGCATGGGGACTCTGCATCTGAGTTAAAGCGGCAGCGAGCAGCAGTTCGCTCGCGCTTGCGTGGTGCGGAGACACTTGGAGTGTCTCTGAGTGGGGTGTGGGGTGTAGAAGGGGGAGAGCTGCTGCATTATGCTGGGGGCTCTAGACTGCAGCAAGGGGCCTATAGACCCCACACTCTGTCAGATTATATCTGTCTCTTTAGGGCCCTCTTAAACAGAGACACTCAGCATCATCAGCTGTATACTCAACTCCGCAGCACTTTACTTCAAATACATTACTTCTTTACACGCCAGCAAATACTTAATCTATACTGCAGCAGTCTCCTCTTCGTTGTCGGTACACCACGCATAATAGACCCACCCCACGTAGGGGGCCCCCAAGGGGGGCCCCATGTGGGGGGCCCCCAACTTGGGGGCCCCCAAAACGGGACTCAAGGGAGGCCCCAGGTTGGAGGCCCCCAAGGGGGCCCCTCAAGAGTTGCTCCCCAGGTTGGGGGCCCCCATGGGGGGCCTCATGGGGAGCCCCAAGTGTGGGGCCCCCAAGTTAGGGGGCCTCAAGGGGGGCCCCATGGGGCCCCACAGAGGGGGGCCCCCCCAGAGGGGCCCCTAGGGGGCCCCCTAGAAGGGGAAGCCCAAGGGGGTCTCCACGGGGTGGGGGCCCACCTCGAAAGGGGGCCCCACGGGGGGCCTCTTAAGGGGCCCCCTGAAGAAGCCTTAACGGGGGCCCCAAAGGGGGCCCCTACTGTACCCTCAGAGAGGGGGGCCCTTCAAGGGCCCCTCACAGGGGGCCCCCCTAAGGCAGCTTCCTTGGGGGACCCCCAAGGGGCTTTAGAAGCTCCCCCTGGGGGGCCCTTAGGGAACCCCTTGGGGGCCCCCCAGGGGGCCCCTGTATTGCGTGTGAAGATGATAGACTTTGCGCATGCGAGCTTGTACCCTGAAGAAATAGAAAAGGGATATTTAAAAGGATTAGAGACGCTGATAAAAGCAGTTGATGCTGCAGCAGAGGCCCTTGCATGCGGTGAGGAGACACCCGGAGGGATAAGAGAACTGCTGGCTTGCTGGGCAGCGAAGGGAGACAAAAAGGAGACAGAAGGGACCTGCGGAGACACCTGAGGCCCCACACTCTGCAGCAATAACTAACAGCTAGCCAGCGAATCGACAAGCTAGCTAGCCAGCTGCCATAGCTAGCTAGGGTAGCTAGCTAGCTAGCTACCGAGACCCTCCTGCAGCTAGCTAGCTGCTGCAAAACGCAAGCAGCTTCTCGTTCTCGTAGGGACCAAGCAGCTAGCTACTAGCTAGCTGACTATCTATCAGCTAGTTAGCTAGCTCGCTCTCTAGTAATCTGGTAGATGGCTAGCTGGGTAGCCGGTTAGCTAGCTAGCTAGCTAACCACCTATCGGCTGGCTAGCCAGCTAGCTAGCTAGCTATCAACTAGCTAGCTATCAACTAGCTAGCTAGCTATCAACTAGCTAGCTAGCTGATTTCTTCTGCGCCTTAAGGGGCTGTGCCCGTCTCTAACCAGTGGCCGGCTACCAACACAGTTTGTGCTCCTCTGCAGATAAGCCTAGCTAGCTAGCTAGCTACTGCTACTGCTAGCTAGCTAGCTACTGCTACTGCTAGCTAGCTAGCTACTGCTACTGCTAGCTAGCTAAGGGTTCGTTGTTTGAATTTGTTAAATGTTTGAGTCAGCCAAAAGTTGCAAACCGGAAGACAAGGAAATGGGGGCACCACTGAGGTGT